CACACACACACACACACACACACATATGTATGTATATAGATGAGTAGGCCTAGAATATGTGAAGATTCACTACTACATAATAAAAATTTAAAATATAATTCTCATTAGTCCATTACATCAGAATTCTAAGCAACAAAAAACAAAAATATAAGATATTTCTTTGTTCTTTTCTTCTCTGAAAAGCCCGAGTCCCACATATGGCTTATCCCTAAGATCTTGCTGACTCGAGAGTTGTTTGTGATTGCTCCAAGTATCTTGCTTACAGGTCTGGTCCTCAGGGAGCATCATAAAGTTGGAAAGGGGCAGATGAAGTGAGTGTTCTTAACAGAGACAGGGAGAAGAACATGTTCCTTCTGGAGCCAAGTAAAACGGAACAGTTCAAAACACCGATATACTTTGAAATGTGAGCAATGACGACTCACATTTCTTTAGAGATTCCACAATTACTATGTTCTGTGTGTTTCAAAGGACATAAATTCTTCCTCTCCTTAGATGCCCCACACATACACACATACCCTAAAACAGGGCTGGGAAATCTTTTTTCGGTCAAGGTCCATTTGGATATTTATAACATCATTCACTTAATATAAATTTATGTTGCTATGAAAAAAGCTCCTAGATTTATTGAATTTCAAGTTCCACCTGCAGTTGCCATGGCAGGGCCAGACCAAATGATTTCAAGGGCCTTATATGGCCTGCGGGCTGGATGTTCCCCACCCCTGCATATGGAACAAAAACTGCTGTTACTCCCCAATTCTTCATTTCACTCTTGCCCCAAATTTTCATTAGCCACATGCCATGCATAAAAAAGACTAAATTCCCAGGCTCCCTCACACTAACTTATTGGCCAAGACAATTTAGGTGAAAATTATGGGTGTTGCAATTTCTAAAAAGTGTCCTTCGACAGAAAAGGGGAGGCCTTATTTGCCAACCCCTCTCTCTTCCTGATGCCTCAAATGCTAAAGTGATTCACAACATGATTTGGAAGCCACGTGGGTGATGGCAGAGCTCGATGATCATTCAATCCCTGAAAACGTACTCTGCATTTTGTTGAAGCAACAGAGAAGTAAATTTCTAGTACCTGAAACCACCTTTTATTTTTAAGTTTTCTGTCAAGTGCAGCTCAACTAATTCTAATTCATTCAGCATATGACCTTAGGCCATAACGAAATGGTCACAAAATTTTCAATCATGCTTCGATGGTATGGGATTCGATATTAGCTTAAAATGCTGTAGACAGGGCCCTGGCAGGTGTGGCTCAATTGGTTGGGCATCTTCCCAAGCACCAAAAGTTTGCTAGTTCCATTCCCAGTCAGGGCACATGCTCAGAGTACAGGCTGGATCCCTAGTAAGGGACATGCAAGAGCAGGCAATCAATGTTCTGCTCTCACATCAGTGTTTCATTTTCTCCCTTTCCCTTCCTCTCTTTCTAAAAATCAATGAAAAAAAAATTTTTTTAAATACTTTGGACAGGGAAGTAAGGGCTGGGCTGGTGTGGCCACTCCCTGGTAGGAGCAGGAAACATGGCCACTGAAGCCAGGAGAGCAGCACCGGTGTGGCAGGGCCCACGTGGCTCTGGTCCTGTCTTCCTGTCTGTGTTTACAACAGCCACCCAGGACAGCAAACCAAACCATAATGGGAGCTGCAGAGCCCAGTACCAGTTCACCCTGGGACTGCCTCTGTAAAATATGCAGTTTAAAAAACAACCACCACCAAAAAAGCAGTCTATTTGACCTCTCAGGCCATAGTCCTACTAATGAGCACACCAGTCTTTGAGCACAACCTATCCTGGAATGTCCAGCTCCACTGAGCAGCTCGGACAGTCTCCACTGCAGAAGACAGTCTCTTTTCAATTGGATTGTGGGCAAACCTGATTTTGCCCATAGTCTAGTTTCTCCCCAGATAACCCATGGAATGACTGTGGAAAAAGACTGAGGAAATGCAGTTGGTCAGCGGAGGAAAACACCTCTAAGATTTACAAATTAGTGGTGGTGTTCTTACAATCACTTATCTCTGTTACTTGACTATTAAGCTACTTAAATATCTATCCTTTAATCATGTTTCCTTTAACATCTATCTCAGGCAGCTTTTAAGAGTATTATGTACAGCCCTAACCGGTTTGGCTCAGCGGATAGAGCGTCGGCCTGCGGACTCAAGGGTCCCAGGTTCAATTCCGGTCAAGGGCATGTACCTTGGTTGTGGCCACATCCCCAGTGGGGAGTGTGCAGGAGGCAGCTGATGGATGTTTCTCTCTCATCGATGTTTCTAACTCTCTATCCCTCTCCCTTCCTCTCTGTAAAAATCAATAAAATATATTTTTTAAAAAAAGAGTATTATGTACACACTGTGATATGCAAGAAAAAGCCTGCAGGACCCCAGGAATACTAGGACACCCCTGAGCACGTTCCTGGGCAATGTACACACTGACAGTGCAGATGTTCTTAGACATGGATTTGGACCTCAAGCCTATGACTCCTCCACCTGACATGGACTGTAGGCCTAGCCCATTAATGGAGGCCAGGATGCAGGTGGGCACTGGTATATTACCACTCTGAGTTTAGGATTGCATTAACCACAAAGAAAGAAAATGCAGTTGGTCCTTTTGTAATGCAACCTTCTACAATGGGACAATATCCATGAGTTCCTCAGCCGCAGTAAGGAGAAGCTTGGGATCCTGGCACAGGCCTCCGTCCCAAACAAGACTAATCCATTTGGGTCCATGTTCTGTCTCAGTTTTCAGCAGGTGATCATGCAGAACAATATTATTTTGGTGACCTTACATGGACCCAAGGCCTGATGCCAACCTGGGAACAATATACCTCCTCCCTAGGGCCACTCATCACCTATGTCCCTGACTATGTCATATTCTGCTCAACTGACCTTGGCAATACCACACCGTGGATGTTCTTGATCACCATGGCAGCTTCGAGAGGGGGCACTCTGAGGTGAGAGCAAGCTGCGAACTCTGACATCAGATGAGGAGCCTGGAAATCCCTCAGCTCATTCTCACTCAGCCTGCCTGGGACAGTGGTGGCAGTTGAGACAAGGACTACAAAGAGTTCTCAAGAAGCAACTCCTCCAGCCCAGATAACTGGACCTTGACTAGTTCCTAAGGAGACAGGGTCCTGATTACCAGACATCAACTCCTGTCCCATATAAAAAGGGACAACTTGGGGCTGTTTTGTGGCTGAGAACAAGATGAGGAATCCTGGCACATGGCCATAAATGCAAGTAAGCATCCTGCCCACAGGACTTAGGACCTGGTGTGGACTAGTCTGTATCCACTTTGGTGATCTGATGAGCTGAAGCCAAGGCAGCCTTCCTGTCCTCTTATACATACTCTCTTGGTAGGCCCAGCTGGAAAACCAACAGGTTGAAAGTGCTTTCTGCTATCAAAGCATGAACCCCATCCCAGTTAGTTCACAAAATTATGCCTGGATCCCACACTTCTGAGTGCCAGCCTTTGAAGGTGTCAGACAGAGCCTTGTTCTTCCACTCCACCCTTGCTATGTGTTATACATTACCATTCTGTCTGCTTCCTAATTTTATGTGAAAATCTTAGTCAAAAGTATCTTCCTCCTGTGCTATGTCTCAGCAGTCCAGTACAACTTGCTGGCATAACCATGAACTACCTTGGAGTCTAACCCTCCAGCCCAGAGCATTGTTTGGATAGCTGTGGTCCCAGATGACCATAACTTCATGAGAAGCCCTAAGCAAGAACACCCAACTGAGCAGCCCCCAAATTCCTGACCCACAAGAAATGAGTGATATAATAAATGTGGTTTCTTTTTATTTATTTTATTTTTTAATTTGTTTCTGGCGCCCATGACCGGAATCGAACCTGGAACCCTTGGGTCCACAGGCCAACGCTCTATCCACTGAGCCAAACCAGTCAGGGCAATGTGGTTTCTTTTTGTTGTTGCTTTAAGCCATTAAATTTTGGGGAAATTTGTTAAGCAGCAATAGATAAAAGCTTACAAATGGCTGGCATATCTGTGAACTACTACAGGCATCCAGGATTTCCTCCAGCACTTCAGGACAAGCACTGGGAGCCCAGGAGCATCTTGCAACCTGCCCTCCAATAAAGCACCTATCCCCCAGCAACAACCCTCCCACATGCAGTTGTTGGGGTATTGTGTTTATACTTTAAAATTTTTGAAATGGTACCACTTTGCACAAATATGCAACAAGTGGATCCTGGTTCATGAACTGTTCTTCAGTTCAGCCACTGCTGGAGGCTAAGGGAGGGGAGATTTTTATTTCATAGCAATAGAATCTCTGTTATCACAACATAATCTTTCGTTTACCTGGAATTCCAGAATCTGAAATTCAACTTGAAATGTAATCATGTGGCAATTTCCTGATAATTTATGTCTTTGTAGAACTTTCTTTATACCTGTCAATCAGAAAAACAAATAATTTATTTGCAAATAACAATTTTCTTCAAATATCCATGTGGTGACATGGTGTGAAGTATGTGTTAGTATTTCCATTGAATATATCTAGAATAATCTGCACCAAATTGATTACCTTTGTGTGAAACAGAATTAAATCAACTTATACTTTCTAGCTCTCAATTATACCAAAAGATTAAGGTAAAGAACAGAAATTCCCATGTAACCAGCACTGAGATCAAGATACAGCAATTTTAAAGGACCCCATGAAGTTACCTCGTGCCCTTTCCCAGGCTATATTCTACCCTCACCCAAGAAATAACCACTATTCTGAGTTTATCAACATCTAGATTTGCTAATAAAGGTATTTTTAGAACTGCACAATTCTACAAGGAGAAAGAGAAAGAGATGAGAGGAACCTAATTTTAGAGGCTAAAAATCATATGGAGGAGCTAGATATCACATGGAAAAGAACTGAACTGGCAGACCCAGGGAAACTAAAACCTCAGCCTGCAATGGGGAACCCTTAAAGTCAAATCCATCTACACACAGAATACCAGGAAAGGCATTCTGAATCAGCAGCATCAAGTACTTCAATAGATGGAGGTGAACGTGGGGCTCAAAAGAAGACTGAGACTTTTGTGCTAATAAAAGTCTGACACCTGGCCTGACATCACTCTCCATTCCACCTCTTCGTTCCAAGTACCTGAAGTGTCTAAATTCCATCACTCACTTCTACATGCAATTCAATCTTGCCCTGAGGCGAGCTGCCCAAGACTGAGAGTCACTCTCCCTCCTTCCCTGTCTTGAGGGTTATTTCGATGGAAGTCAGGAAACATTTCCAAAAGTGATTCCTTCTTTAGGGAATGCTACTTTGTTCAAAGTTCCTGACATCCAATTGCACAACTGAATTAGCTTCCCCTTTCCTGTTAGTGCATCACAGATGTTGGCAATAAAACTTATTGAGACCAGAAAAACCCTCCCTGGGTAAACAGTCCAGCTGCTGATACTTTTATCTTGGCCACAGACTATGTTCAATAGGAGTACAGTACTATAGATGAAGCATCTTTCGGGTCAGTGGAGGAAAACTCCTAAGATTTACAAATTAGTGGTGGTATTGTTCTTACAATCACTTACCTCTGTTACTTGACTATTAAGCTACTTAAATATCTATCCTTTTATCATGTTTCCTTTAACATCTATCTCAGGCAGCTTTTAAGAGTATTATGTACACACTGTGATATGCAAGATACCCTACAAAACAACTTTACCACAACCACACATTCAGATAGTTACCTTGTAAAATTTTAATTCAACGACACCCAATTCCTATGCATAACAAGAAAAGCTTCAACACGACTTCTAGATAAAAATTAACACTTACGCCTTTCTGTCATCTCAGTGCTCGTTAGGTTCTCTATCTTCTTGGAGTACTTTCTGATATTGATACCAGTAAGCGTATTTAGAAATAGAAGTTCTGATTCTAAATTTCCAAGATTACTTCTCAGATCTTTTGATGTTTCCCATCCTTCAGAATCTGATTGGTATATTTCTTGAAATGATTTTCTAAAAAGCAAATATTGGAAATAATTACTCCAAAGAAGAAACCATCTAATACGTACAAATTTCTTCAAACCATTCCCATTTTGTGTTTCTTATTCTCTTCCCATTAAAACCAACTCAAAACCAATGTGGCTCATTGACACTGCCACCTTTGATCGCAACATAAAATAAACCTAACCAAATTATATTACCATATTTCTACATATTTGAAGCAACTGTAAAAAATTATCACAGGAGTATTTTACAGAATCAAAATGTCCATGTAGGTCGAAATGTTTAAAATGTTCCCATCTAAATGTCTGATATACCAAGACATCTCAAATTATGTTAAAAGATGTCACAAAAGTAAAAACAAAATATATTAGCTAGCTTTAACTTCCAAAACAAGTAAAGTATCAGAGAGCATTATATTAAGAAAGAGATTCTCAGGAAATCTGAGAATACAGGGGGTAAAAATTCTAAAAGAATAAAACATAATTTCCTTAACACTGCAATCAGATATTCTGCACTGAGAACATGTAACTCTATTTTCCTGGAAAAACAGTAACATTTCAGTTAATATTCACACTGAATGGTACTTTACTCTTTGTCATACTATATTGCCCTCATACTCGGCCACATTCTACGGTGCTGACTTCTGCCGTTGTAAGAAACACCTTCCTTCCATTCTGGAACATGATTGTTCTACTTCTCAGTTTTTACATCATGGGTCCTCCAAATATGTATTGTTCACACTAGAGATCAAAAACTTGTACAAAGTCTGTAGTAATTTTTTTAAATGTTGCTTTAGTGATAATTTGAAATATTAACAAATATATTCTGAGAGACTATCACATGCACTTTTGTATTTCCCATTACTGATTGATGAAAAAAGTTACTTTAAATATAGAAAGCTAATGAAAAAAAAGGAGAGAGGCAATCTTCATATATAAATGATGAGTTCCTGCCAAATGAATCTATAATAATAAAAGCATAATATGCTAATTAGACCAGACAGTCGAACAACCTTCCAGAAGTCCTTCCAGACGAAGCTGCAGCAGCAGGGGCCAAGGCAGAGGTGGTATTTTTAAGTTTTCTGTCAAGTGCAGCTCAACTAATTCTAATTCATTCAGCATATGACCTTAGGCCATAACGAAATGGTCACAAAATTTTCAATCATGCTTCGATGGTATGGGATTCGATATTAGCTTAAAATGCTGTAGACAGGGCCCTGGCAGGTGTGGCTCAATTGGTTGGGCATCTTCCCAAGCACCAAAAGTTTGCTAGTTCCATTCCCAGTCAGGGCACATGCTCAGAGTACAGGCTGGATCCCTAGTAAGGGACATGCAAGAGCAGGCAATCAATGTTCTGCTCTCACATCAGTGTTTCACTTTCTCCCTTTCCCTTCCTCTCTTTCTAAAAATCAATGAAAAAAAAATTTTTTTAAATACTTTGGACAGGGAAGTAAGGGCTGGGCTGGTGTGGCCACTCCCTGGTAGGAGCAGGAAACATGGCCACTGAAGCCAGGAGAGCAGCACCGGTGTGGCAGGGCCCACGTGGCTCTGGTCCTGTCTTCCTGTCTGTGTTTACAACAGCCACCCAGGACAGCAAACCAAACCATAATGGGAGCTGCAGAGCCCAGTACCAGTTCACCCTGGGACTGCCTCTGTAAAATATGCAGTTTAAAAAACAACCACCACCAAAAAAGCAGTCTATTTGACCTCTCAGGCCATAGTCCTACTAATGAGCACACCAGTCTTTGAGCACAACCTATCCTGGAATGTCCAGCTCCACTGAGCAGCTCGGACAGTCTCCACTGCAGAAGACAGTCTCTTTTCAATTGGATTGTGGGCAAACCTGATTTTGCCCATAGTCTAGTTTCTCCCCAGATAACCCATGGAATGACTGTGGAAAAAGACTGAGGAAATGCAGTTGGTCAGCGGAGGAAAACACCTCTAAGATTTACAAATTAGTGGTGGTGTTCTTACAATCACTTATCTCTGTTACTTGACTATTAAGCTACTTAAATATCTATCCTTTTATCATGTTTCCTTTAACATCTATCTCAGGCAGCTTTTAAGAGTATTATGTACACACTGTGATATGCAAGATACCCTACAAAACAACTTTACCACAACCACACATTCAGATAGTTACCTTGTAAAATTTTAATTCAACGACACCCAATTCCTATGCATAACAAGAAAAGCTTCAACACGACTTCTAGATAAAAATTAACACTTACGCCTTTCTGTCATCTCAGTGCTCGTTAGGTTCTCTATCTTCTTGGAGTACTTTCTGATATTGATACCAGTAAGCGTATTTAGAAATAGAAGTTCTGATTCTAAATTTCCAAGATTACTTCTCAGATCTTTTGATGTTTCCCATCCTTCAGAATCTGATTGGTATATTTCTTGAAATGATTTTCTAAAAAGCAAATATTGGAAATAATTACTCCAAAGAAGAAACCATCTAATACGTACAAATTTCTTCAAACCATTCCCATTTTGTGTTTCTTATTCTCTTCCCATTAAAACCAACTCAAAACCAATGTGGCTCATTGACACTGCCACCTTTGATCGCAACATAAAATAAACCTAACCAAATTATATTACCATATTTCTACATATTTGAAGCAACTGTAAAAAATTATCACAGGAGTATTTTACAGAATCAAAATGTCCATGTAGGTCGAAATGTTTAAAATGTTCCCATCTAAATGTCTGATATACCAAGACATCTCAAATTATGTTAAAAGATGTCACAAAAGTAAAAACAAAATATATTAGCTAGCTTTAACTTCCAAAACAAGTAAAGTATCAGAGAGCATTATATTAAGAAAGAGATTCTCAGGAAATCTGAGAATACAGGGGGTAAAAATTCTAAAAGAATAAAACATAATTTCCTTAACACTGCAATCAGATATTCTGCACTGAGAACATGTAACTCTATTTTCCTGGAAAAACAGTAACATTTCAGTTAATATTCACACTGAATGGTACTTTACTCTTTGTCATACTATATTGCCCTCATACTCGGCCACATTCTACGGTGCTGACTTCTGCCGTTGTAAGAAACACCTTCCTTCCATTCTGGAACATGATTGTTCTACTTCTCAGTTTTTACATCATGGGTCCTCCAAATATGTATTGTTCACACTAGAGATCAAAAACTTGTACAAAGTCTGTAGTAATTTTTTTAAATGTTGCTTTAGTGATAATTTGAAATATTAACAAATATATTCTGAGAGACTATCACATGCACTTTTGTATTTCCCATTACTGATTGATGAAAAAAGTTACTTTAAATATAGAAAGCTAATGAAAAAAAAGGAGAGAGGCAATCTTCATATATAAATGATGAGTTCCTGCCAAATGAATCTATAATAATAAAAGCATAATATGCTAATTAGACCAGACAGTCGAACAACCTTCCAGAAGTCCTTCCAGACGAAGCTGCAGCAGCAGGGGCCAAGGCAGAGGTGGTTAGGGGCGATCAAGCAGGCAGGCGAATGATAAGGGGCAATCAGGCAGGCAGGTGAGTGGTTAGGGGTAATCAGGCAGGCAGGCAAATGGTTAGGGGCAATCAGGCAGGCAGGCAAGTGGTTAAGGGCGATCAGGCAGGCAGGCAAGTGGTTAAGGGTGATCAGTCCGGCAAGTGGTTAGGGTCGATCAGGCAGGCAGAAGCAGTTAGGGGTGATCAGGCAGGCAGGCAAGTGGTTAAGGGCAATCAGGCAGGCAGGCAAGTGGTTAGGGATGATCAGGCAGGCAGGAAGAGGCAGTTAGGGGTGATCAGGAAGGCAGGCAAGTGGTTAAGGGCGATCAAGGCAGGCAGGCGAGTGATTAGGGGTGAGCAGGCAGGCAGACGAGTGGTTAGGAGCCAGCGGTCCCGGATTGCAAGAGGGTGCAGACCAGGCTGAAGGACCCTCTCCCCCACCCCCGTGCACGAATTTCATGCGCCGGGCCTCTAGTACCAAATAATGTCACAGCAAACTATGAATGAAAATGTCAAGGTATTTCTAATACTAAGTCATCAATTAAAGGATAGCTATGCAGAACACAAACAAAGAACCTGTAACTTGGAAAGGGGAGAATGGGAAGTTATTGTTTAAAGGTTACAGAGTTTCACTCAGGGGCAATGAAAACGGCCTAGAGAAGGACAGTGGTGATGACTGTGTGACAATGTGAAAGTACTGATGCTACTGAACTGTACACTTTGAAAAAGTTAAAATGGTAAATTTTATGTTATGTATATTTTATCACAAAGACAACCTGAATATTCTCATTCATAGCAGTGACATACTTTAAACAAAATATCATTGGTCCATTTCAATTACTGACATTGGTTGGAATGATGCTGGGTTATGAATTTAATTAGTTTTATAGTTAATTTATTATTCATAAATTTGTCTCCTTGGCATAACTTTTTGCCCAAAAGTAGAGGTTCACAAGAAACTTGTCTCTTTTAAAACAAATCTAGCCCGGCTGGTGTGGCTGAGTGGTTGAGCATCAACCTATGAATCAGGAAGTCACAGTTTGATTCCCGATCAGGGCACATGCCCGGGTTGAGGGATCCATCCCCAGTGTGGGGTGTGCAAGAGGCAGCCGATCGATGATTCTCTCTAACCATTGATGTTTCCATCTCTCTCTCTCGCTCTCCTTTCCTCTCTGAAATCAATAAAAATATATTTTAAAATAATAATAACAAAAAAGAAAAGAAAACAAATCTACATGAGCCCTGGCCCATGTGGCTCAGTTGATTGAGCATGGTCCCATGAGCCAGAAGGTTGCAGGTTTGAGTCCCCATTAGAGCACAAGCTGGGATTGTGGGCTCGATCCTCAGCACAGACGGGTAGGAGATAAGAGGCAGCTGGTGGATGTTTCTCTTTCACATCTATGTTTCTCTCTTTCTCTCTCTCCTCTCTCTCACTCCCACCGTCCCTCTCTCTAAAATCAATAAAATCCTATTTAAAAAATATAGAATAAAACAAATCTACATGAGACTTCAGTTTAAAAGTCAATGAGCGGTGACATCAGAGAAATGGCCCTGTGAGAGCACACCTTTTCCTCCTCCCTGAAATTTCAACAAGTTAACCAACTACAGTTCAACAAAGAAATTCTGCTCAGACAGGAGCACTGAAACATCTAAAGGTGGGTTTACGGAGATGAGAAGGGAGGAAAGTGCAGAAGGCCTGCAGATGTAGCCCTGCTGCCAGGAGCTCCTGGCTTGGCTGGCCTGAGG